GTGCAAGTTGCGCACGTTAAAGATCCCTTGGTGGTCTAAAATCGATAAGAGTAGGCTTCGGCCGCCACCCGGGCAAAATTCAAAATTTCCTACCAACGAAAAGTATTAGGTGTGTCCCGCGCGCTCATATGACCTTATGCAGTTGCGAGCGCCGTAAAACCCTATACTAAACAAACAAACAAACATGTATATTATACACTTACACACACATAAACATACACACACATACGCGTACACACGTGTACACAATACACACACACACACACATTTTTTAAAATTTAGTGTAGCCTACATAGATCTAGATCTATATGTTTTTGTTTTCTTTTGAAAAATGGGGGTGGGTGGCGTAAGGAGGGTGTTGTTTTTGTTGTTTTTGTTGTTTTTGTTGTTTTTGTTGTTTTTGTTGTTTTTGTTGTTTTTGTTGTTTTTGTTTCCTTTTTTTGTTTTTTTTTTGTTTTTTGTTAGCGTTTTTTTGTTTTTGTTATTTTTGTTCCTGATTTTGTGCAAGGGTAAACTAAATGAATTATTATGTAAATAAGACGATGAAGACCGAGTGCCATGGTAACACAAATTAAACACGCGGGTCGCCACCACTCGGAGAACGAGCGACGCTTCTGTCACAAGTTCACGTCAACGTCCATTGTTACTTTGTTACAGATTAGGTAAACAAAACAGTGACCAGTCACCTCACACACGATTTGTGCATGAGTTGTGGGCGGGGCTTATATACGCTTCCCTCACCTGCAGTTGAACACTAATTGTTAGACCTACCCTTTGGTCAACTTGGGGAAACCATCATTGGAGGGACTAACAATAACGACAGGTGATTGCATTACGAGTTATGACGGCCCGTCCACAGCGTGAGGGACCGATTCAAAATTTCGGACAAAGCGTCAGGTGACCACGCCTTGTTGACCGTGGGTTGATAAAGGAGAAATTATATTATATAGAAAAAAACGCAAGGGGGGGGGGGGGGGGGGGGGGGTGGCCGTTTGTACAGCTGGCGTATTATACAGGTGGTCGTTATGACAGGTTCGACGGTACTACTTTTACTACTACAACAACAACTACTACTACTAGATCTAGATAAACTAGCCAACTACTGCTAGATCTACTATGTAGCCTACTACAACTACTACTGCTACTACTACTCTACCAAAGATAGTTCAGCCTACGGTAGGGTGTAGTATCTTTGCTACTACTACTACTACTACTACTACTACTACTACTACTACTACTACTACTACTACTACTACTACTACTACTACTACTAGATAAACTAGCTAACTACTGCTAGATCTACTATACTACTACTATAACTGATACTGCTGCAGACTACAAAGTACTGTACCACTGCTGCTGCTGCTGCTGCTGCTGCAACAACTACTAAAACTATACGACCGAGGCTACTGGTAAGTAAGCTGAACGTTCAACAGAATACATAACAAGTATTCTAAAATAATAATGATAACTTAAAATAAAATATGATATTATTTTGAACAAGACTAGGCCTATAGTTCTGTATTATAGGATCATTCTTTCTCGAGATCATTCGTCTGTTTTGCAGTCCGTTAAAATTTTTACATTTACACTTTTTAGATAGACCAACTGCTCAACAGGAAGTAAACGCTAGGGGCAATCCTTTTCCGGTGTAACTCTAAACATGGTAGGTTGTTCCTTCGTAGTGTCCTATATTATGTTTTTCATCCGTTGAAATCGGAAAGCATATGATATCCGTGCCGGTTTTGAGAGTTGCATCCTAGACGATTGTTGAATTCTATAAACTTTGAACTTCCATTTTAGAGGCAGTGCCGCCAGTTTTGTCTGAACAGTTTGTCGAAAGTTTGGGCTAGGAATTGTCAATCAATGCTCTGTTCCCATACAAGTACCAAGTCCTGAAATTGAAAGTATAGTTGCCTACTTCTTTATTTCAAGTTTATGTGTTCGTGTATGAAAAGCCTACCCTTCAAACAAGGTAGTTGGCAATACCGAGGTGGTCTGATCTTGTATTGTTACGGTTTTAGGAGCTAATGTTTGATGATGACGTTGGTGCAGCAGTTTTCTTTTAGTCTTGACTGCTCGACTGCTTGTGGCTTGTTTTATTAGATCTAGAATCTAGATCTAGTAAAGAAAAAAGAGCCTGGGGTCCGATAATACTGGACATTCAACCCAAGCAGTAGACAGTAGATCTAACAGTGTCACAGCAAAGCGACATGACCTGGGCAGCAACTGAATAGATGCTGTAAGCCACCTCTAGGGCCTAGAATCCTGGTCTAGGTCTCTAGATCTAGATTCTAGATCTAGGTGATTTGATTGTCCTGTACTGTGGGTGGTGAGAGTGAGAGGTCAGGGGGAAGTCTCACCTCATGCCCACACCAGGGTGGGGGTGAGAATAACAGGTCATGAGCTATTGGGTGATCTTGTAGTTCCGTTCGTTAAAGTCCACCACCCATTTGTTTGCATCCAGAGAAGAAATCCAGAAGTCTTGATGACCAAATAGGCAACACAAAGACAAAGAACATGGATGCAACCTAACTGCAAAACATCAAGTTATGGTCAAATTCAGGGGGACCAGAACTGTCGAAAAAGGGCCATTCTTTGCTTAAATTTTGATTGACTTTCTCAACGATTCAGGGTCTCTGGCGTTCAGCTTTGGACTTCCAACGAACGAAACTACAAAATGGCCAGCTATTGAGCTATTATCACCAGGCTAGGGGTGAAAGACTGAAGAAATTAAAGCTTCCATCCCTGGAACATCATAGGTTACGTGATGATATGATTAAAACATACAAGTACATCAAAGTCAAAGGCTAGATCTACTATCAAGATCTAGATTCTTCATCACCGAAAGACCAGCTTTTACAAGGCAACACCCACACTACTTCGTGGCAACTCTTGAAAATCGGGTAGGCCTAAATGCTATTTGGAACAATCTCCCTGAGTCAGTGGCAGTGGTGTCAGCCCCAAACCTAGATCTAGATTTCTAGACACATTCAAGAGACGTGTGGATGAGTAGGCTACTGGAAAGATCTCCCGACGATCTAGATCTACTTTTCCACTTGCCAAAACTGAATAGTCTAGCACTCTAGCCTGCACGCTGTTCTTTCCATACTAGATATCTAGATCTAGACTACCATGTCAGTTTTGATGTCATTGCTTCTATTTGTAGTAAAATTTTGTTTGTTTTGGTCACAGTTGTAGTAAGGGAAAATTGGAAACCATAGCCTAGGCCAACTTATGTCTTTTTTGTGATTGTGGGCTTGATTTGAAATTTTTATGCAGCCCTCTTCTCTGTCGTTACTGAAATTGAACTCATTGAAGAGAGAAAAAGTTTCTCCAAGTTCATGTCGATCTAGATCTAGGCTTAATTGATCTTGGTCTCAAATATTTTGTTCTCTAGCCGCCTAAATCGAAGAAGGGCAAAAAGAAGGTGGCTGCCGTCCCCCTGGCAGTCAAGAAAGCAGAGCCCAAGAAGGTCGTCAACCCACTGTTTGAGAAACGACCCAAGAACTTTGGCATTGGTAAGTAGCTAGGAACTGGGAACGCTATTTTTGTTGTTCACTTCAATGTTTGAATGAAATGAAATAAACAGCATAGCAAGTAGATCTAGAATCTATGTCTGGTCCATTTATTTCTGAACAGATTGAGACAGGGAGTTATGATTTCTAACGTGTTTGTGGGGCTGGAATTGGTTTGCTTATATAGTTATGAACTTGATCTGCTGAGTTTTTTGGCGAGGTATTTTGACATTTAATTTTTGTCCTTGAATTGAGAGGGTGGGATGCTGCCAGGTTTGAGGTTTGGTTGTTTTTTTCGTCAAATTATTTTCTTGATGTTTTCGGCTGGGAAGTTAACCATAATGCAGAGAGTATGTTTAAATTAGGAAATGTTTGTGACTCCTTTCAATGTGGCCCTCTGGGTCACTAGAGTATTATCTTATTTCGGGGGGGGGGGGGTTAATTACTTATTTTATGTATGTGATATGGTTTGGCTAGTTCACAGATTGGATTTGCAACCATTTGTGATTCTGTTTGGAGGTTGCCACTGGTAGGGCTTACTTCTCTTGTTTCTGTCTGTCTTTCTTGTTCATTTGCATTGATTGACCATTGTTCTGCCAGTGTGTTTCTGATGTAAAGTTTTTCTGTGGGTTCAGTGGTTGCTATGATGTAAAAATTTCTTCACCTGAACTTTTTCACAAAAAAAGTAGAGGATGAATATTTGACACCTGAGCGCTCTGGACCAAAGTAGGCCTACTTGTTGTTAGCGATCCAGTTACATCTGAGCGTTAACTCTTCTGCATGATGCCAATCTGTAATAGCTGCATGTCTGTTCTAATTGTTGTCTTGAGGAGTAGAGGCAGTTAGATGTTTGGGGTAGCTTGGGAAGAAATCATCCCCTCAAATTGGTTAGTTTTCTTCAGAACAGATGATGTTCCACTGTCTCTGTTCACAGATTGGATTTGCAACCATTTGTGATTGTTTGGAGGTTGCCACTGGTAGGGCTTACTTCTCTTGTCTGTCTGTCTTTCTTGTTCATTTGGATTGATTGACCATTGTTCTGCCAGTGTGTTTCTCTCCCTGCTCCAACCCGTTTATGTGGGTGGTTGCCAGGACAGGTGCTCTGGTGCGGTATGCTTCTTCTTTCCTATTAAACATCTATCATCTTTATCTCCCCTTCTTTTTTCTGTTTGTTACTCTCTTGCAACACCTCTGATCTTTGGTACTTGTATGACTTTTTTGTGTTGCAAGTGTTGTAACACACATACCAAAACACGTTTGTTGTGTGCTCCCACAGGCCAGGACATCCAGCCCAAGCGTAACCTCAGCCGCTTTGTGCGATGGCCCAAGTACATCCGTCTGCAGAGACAGAAGGCAATTCTGTACAAGCGTTTGAAGGTCCCTCCTCCCATCAACCAGTTCACCCAGGCTCTTGACAGGCAGACTGGTGGGTTTGAGAGGAAATTGTGGGGTGGTTTGTTTTTCATATGTGCTAGTGGGATGGATATTTTTTCTCATGTTTGAAAATAGTAAAAGTAGATCTTCTTTATTGTTCCTTGTTTATGGTTTTAAAGATTGTAATATATGTTAATGGTCTTTTGAAAACATTTTAAGAGGGATGCCAAATCTCCGTTTTTTTCCTACACTTGCAAAGGAAAGGGGAATGGTAAGAGAAATGTTTTTGATAACTCGTTGAAAGATTTTACAAGGTTTGTTTTAGGTGAGGTGTCACGCTCTGCTCATTTTCGGGGGGGGGGGGGTCAAAAATCATTTGGCATCCCTGTTTTAATTCCAGATTGCTCCTTGAACTTTGCAGAGCTCAAATGATAACAGATTCCATTTTTTTGCTTAGATCAGGGGAATACTGGGGACATCCGGCAAATCTTGATTGCTACACTTGTCACTTGTTTTAGCTACCTGTACCATATTCATCCATAAAATGTTGCAGTTAGGTTTGTGGGCGGTTGGCAGGTGCTTTAGTGTAGTTTGCTTCTTTTTCCTTTCAAACATCTGTCGTCTTTATCTCCCCTCCTTTTTTGTGTTTGTTACTCTCTTGTAATACCTCTAATCTTCTGCACTTATGTGACCTTATTGCGTTGCAAGTGCCGTAAGACTTTAACTAAAACTAAAAGCAGTGAGGATTTGTTAGAATGCTGTATGGCCTGTGTTTGTCGGTGCAGCCACGCAGCTGTTCCGTCTGATGGACAAGTACAGGCCCGAGCAGAGGAAGCAGAAGGAGGCTCGCCTGCAGGATAGAGCGGAGGACCGTGTGTCTGGGAAGGCAGACAAGCCCAGCAAGCGGCCGCCCGTGGTCCGCTCTGGCATCAACACCGTCACCGCGCTGGTGGAGTCGAAGAAGGCACAGCTGGTCATCATCGCTCACGACGTTGACCCCATTGAGGTTTGTGGCTTGATACACAGTTGTCGTGGGGGGGGGGGGGGGGGGGGGGGGGGGGGTTGGCTAGGTGTTTCTTCACATTTCAAATGTTTTTTCTTCTTTGCTTAACGTACTTATGCAGTTGCGAGTGCCTTAAAACTTTACTAGAACTAAACTAAGCTTAACGTAGTGGAAGTGAATCAAACTGTATGGGTGGTTGGCGGTGTTCTGGTGTGGTTTGCTACTTCTTTCCTATCAAATGTTTGTCATTCTTATCTCCTCCGTCACTACTACTCTGTTTATCACTTTCAAACTTTCATAAATCCTGACATGAGAACATTCAATTATTAGAGCATGTCAATGGATTTACCAGTTTCTGAAAATTTGAAAACCAGAATTCTTTTTGCTTGATTTCTGATGTAAAGTTTTCCTGTGGGTCCAGATGTTGCTATGATGTAAGAATTTCTTCACCTGAACTTTTTCCCAAAAAAAGTAGAGGATGAATATTTGACGCCTGAGCGCTCTGGACCAAAGTAGGCCTACTTGTTGTTACCGATCCAGTTACATCTGAGCGTTAACTCTTCTGCGTGATGCCATTCTGTAATAGCTGCATGTCTGTTCTAATTGTTGTCTTGAGGAGTAGAGGCAGCTACATGTGTGGGGTAGCTTGGGATGAAAACATCCCCTCAAAATGGTTAGGTTTTTTTTCAGAAGAACAGATGATGTTCCACTGTCGTGAGGGGTAGTCACATAGTGGGCAGGCAGGTATGTTGATTGAGGGGCCTACTTGAGGATATAACTTAGATAAACGTCAGGTGGGCGTGATAATGTTGCTGGGTTAAGAAAGGAAAATTGTGGCATGTAGTGTCTGACAGGGCAAGCACACTGCACATTGTCTGAAGACAACCACCCATTGTCAATGAGAAAAATGGGTGTCTTTCAGTGTCATGATAATTTAGAAAAAACAAGTATGCAAGACAGGAAATGGGAGGTACAGGTGATTGTCTTTTACGGGTTTTTATAGTAGAGACGGTTGTGCTGCAGATAGTTGATGGATCTTTAGATTCCTTGTTCAGGTAAATTCTTTGTTGGTGTAGAAAATAATTTTTGTTTGTTTCCCTTTTCTTTGTTGGTAGAAAAGAAAGAAAAATTATTCCCCCCCCCCCCGTTGTGTTCCAGGTTGTCCTTTTCCTTCCAGCCTTGTGCCGCAAGATGGGAGTTCCCTACTGCATTGTGAAAGGCAAAGCCAGACTGGGCCGTGTTGTGCACAGGAAGACGGTCACCAGCCTCGCCATCACACAGGTCAACCCGTGAGTGCTCACCTGGTTATTGGACGTTTTTCACGTTCTTGTCTGCTACACTTTTGGGGGGATAAAATACTCGGATATTGTCAGCATCATATCGTGACCTCTGTGCTTTCTTGTCATATCTCCATTTGTAATAACAGTGAAAACAGTTAATAACAAAGAGTGAACTTAAGAAGTCACATTTTCACTGTTTATAAAATGGAGATACGACAAGAAAGCACCAAGGTCGCAATATGGTCCAAATTGTCCATGGCAGTCACCCTAGTTTGGAAGAGTGATGTGTTTGTGTTAGACAGATGGTCGTCTTAGTGTTATGGTGATAAAAATGTTTTAAACAAAAGTGGGAGGTTACTGTTGGTACAGGTGATTGTCTTGTACTGATGCTTAGAGGAGCAGGTTGGATTGTAGTGTCATCTAAATATGGTTAATAATAGTGATAAACTGTTGAGCAATGACGAAAATATATCTTGTTTCTGAAAAAATCTTTGTGATTTTATCCTTGGCTGTGTCTGAGCTCAACTGGTTTTCTGTTGGTACATGATATGGGGAGTGCATTTACTCAGCACTTTTGAGATTTTAATGCCCTCATGTTTTTTACAATTCAGTGGCAACAGTCCTCTTTTTCTCTCACTTCCTTTGGGGGGGGGGGGGGTACATTTTTTTGTCCTGAAAATATGTGTTGTATTTGGGATTTGCGTAAAATTGTTCACACATACCCTCAAACTATGAGTATGAGTTAAAGAAAAGCTTGGTTTTGTTCATGTTAACACATTACGCCCGGGAATTCCCTTACGCGCTCCACCCGGAACCGCCCGCGCCGACCCAGCGTCTTTAGAAACGAAAGTCTCGCCTTGACGAGACTCTGGGGCTGGGATTTTGATTTGCATAGTATAGCAAAAAGTTTCTTCTTTCGTTTGATACCAAAACGAAATTTTTCGGGCTAGTAGTTTTAGTATTAGAGCTGGTCGAAGTGCGATCGCGTTACCGACACTTCGAAAGTGTCTCGACTTGTTGAAAAGCGACACAATTGAGTCCGAAAACGGAAATAACGATGGATTTGAGCAAAAACAAGCGCATATGACAAATCAGATGGCTCAGATTTTGATGAAAACGTTGTAGCAAGAGTTTGGGGCGATTCCGATTGATCAGACGGAGAAAATCTAGAATTAAGATCTAGGGCCCGACCGCGAGGCTGAGAGTGAGAGTGATGGGTCGAACACCCAGATTGAACTAAAGTGAGAACATTTCCAACAGTTTGCTCATACATAAAGTTATATTTTTCTGAAACTACATTCAGTTTTCTTTTTAACTTTTATTTTTTCAGGATTTTTGGAATTTGTTTAGTATTTTTTTAATGTGATTTTTAAAGGCTAGTATTCAGGGGAGGTGGGTTCCTTCCCCTTGCTTAGGATCTACCAATGGACTTCCCGTCCAGGCCCTTAGGGTGTAATGTGGTAATAAATTTGTAACAGTAAATGATGAGTGGGCTCTCCTAGAGGTGAGCGGTTCGCTCTTACAAAGGTGTTGGGTGTCTGTGGTTCCTTGGTGGACTAACGGGACATCTAGGAACAGTGATAGTATGTTGTTTATGCTAGGAACAGTGATAGTATGTTGTTGATGAAATACACAGACTTGCTGATTACTGGTTTGTTTTATTTGGTGGGGGATTTGAGAAGATGTGGGGAAACATCTGAGGATACGTTTTGTTCTTTCCCAACTGGCAAATTTAGTTCCTGTACAAGGGAAGTGCTGAGCAGTGACGATATTTTTATACAACCTCTGAAAATCTTTTCATGATTTTATCCTTGGCTGTGTCTGAGCTCACATTTCCCTCTTACTTGAAGTGGATGTTCTCCACTTTATCTTTACATTAAATATTAATGAATAGTGGGAAGACATGCAGTGACATCAAGCGACTAGCCCAGGATATAGCGAAAGGTGGAAAGTATTTGTTCGTGGCCTATATCCTGATCCAGTGTGAGAAAGGCAATGATGATGATAAAGAGTACACCACCTCCTGTTGGGGGTATTAATTTTTTTTTTTTAATTACGAAGTGTTAATAGATGTTAAAGACGAGTCTGTATTACTGGGGGGGTTGAAGTGTGTTGAATATATGTTCTTTTATGATACTGAAATTGTTTTTGTTTTTTTCCTCTTTGTTGCCAGTGAGGACAGGGTCTCTCTCAACAAGGTTATCGAAGCCGTGAAGACGAACTTCAACGACAGATTTGAAGAAGTGAGTCACGCTGGGCTGTGTTCTCGGCAGTCTCGCCCTTGCTCTTGTGCTGTTCTGTTTGTTACTTGCTGTACACGTCAGAGTCCTGTGTTACTTGTACACGTCAGAGTCCTGTGTTACTTGTACACGTCAGAGTCCTGTGTTACTTGTACACGGCAGAGTCCTGTGTTACTTGTACACGTCAGAGTCCTGTATTACTTGTACACGTCAGAGTCCTGTGTTACTTGTACACGTCAGAGTCCTGTGTTACTTGCTGTACACGTCAGAGTCCTGTGTTACTTGCTGTACACGTCAGAGTCTGTGAAACCTTCCCTTTACTGCCGACAGATGGGTGTTGTGGAAGGGCTGTTTCCGGTGCAGGGAACTTGTGGGGCAGATTTTTTTGTTTGGTTTAAGACATGGGCATGTGATTCTTTTGTAGCTGTTTGAAGTCTTTTTTTAAAAATCTGTTGTTGCAAGGAATTTAGACATACTGAGGAACTCTGAGATTTGCTTTAAGCCGGACCAACACCTTGCTGGTAAAGAAATCTGTTTCTGAGATAGTTGATGCTGGTAAAGAAATCTGATTCTGAGATAGTTGATGCAGGTAAAGAAATCTGATTCTGAGATAGCTGATGTATGTAAAGAAATTTATTATCTATTGAGATATTTAACCCTAGCCGTACGTTGTGTTTTACTCTCGTATCCATACAACGTGGTGAACTCTGTACCACCACTTTCCAAAAAGTAAACTTACTCGTTCATTAATCTGATCTGTACGCTTTGCATAGCAGTCTGTCAAAATGATTTTTTGAGAAATACTGAAAGTTTCAAAGAGATCTTCGTACTAGAAGTATTCTAAAATGTGAAGAATACGACCGCGGGGGTACAAAATGACCCCAGGGTGTAGGGATAGGGTTACGGTATTTGCTTGTGATGATGACACCTGATCAAACAGCTGACCTACACTGAGGCTTGTTTATGAGCTTTTTAACCCTGAGCAAGCAAAGTACTACCACACAGGTTTTTTTGTTTCCTCTATTCCGTTTGAGAATAAACGCTAGTCTGCCCCTAAAGTAACTTTGGGGGGTGGATTGCGTATTGTACTATCCAGTATTTTGAGTCTATTGGTAATCTTTGAATAACTTCAAGAGTCTTTGTTCCGAACTTAGTATGTATTTATTTCGTCAACAGTACGAAATTACGTTTGACAATGTTACATGTACATAGTGTTTAGGTGGTTGGTTGGCGGATGCTCTGGTATGGTTTGCTTCTTCTTTCCTATCAAACATCTATTGTCTTTATCTCTCCTCCTCCTTTTTTGTTTGTTACTCTCATGTAACACCTCAAATCTTCGGCACTTGTATTACCTTGTGTTGCAAGTGCCGTAAAGCACCTACTAAACTAAAAAGTGTTCAGAGATGAGTTTTAATATTAACTTTTCTGCAGCATGGTTTTTGTTAAGTGCAGGCAATTTTAAAAAAAATTAGTTTAAAAGGTTGGTCTTGTTTCAAGTTTTGTTGCTTATTTTTTCCATTTCTGATGTTTCATGTCCTAGTGCGGTCATTAGTTTAGTCAAGCTTTCCCTTCTCTCTCTCTCTGTTCTTTGTATATGTGTGAAAGTGTACCCCAGCTGGGCTGTGATTGCTTGTGATGATGACAAATGTCCCAAACAGCTGATTGTCTATGAGGCTTGTTTATGAGCTTTTTAACCCTGAGCAAGCAATGACGGCTCTTGAGTGGGTGGTTGGCGGGTGCTCTGGTGTGGTTGGCTTCTACTTTCCTGTCATACGTCTATCGTCTTTATCTCTCTTCCTTCTTTTTTGTGTTTGTTACTTTCTTGTAACGCCTCTAATCTTCGGCACTTATATGACATTATTGTGTTGCAAGTCTTGTCATCCGCGTTCTAGCGGTGCTCCTTGTGTTTCTCTTGTCTGTCCTGTGGTGTATCTCGCAGTCTGTCCTGTGGTGTATCTCGCAGTCTGTCCTGTGGTGTGTCTCGCAGTCTGTCCTGTGGTGTGTCTCGCAGTCTGTCCTGTGGTGTGTCTCGCAGTCTGTCCTGTGGTGTATCTGGCACAGTTCTTGCACCAGGTGGTTGGATTCAGAGTTGTTGGATGGAGTAGTCCGTTGTTGGGTGGGGTAGTCTCTTCGCTTTTCACTGAACATTTGAATTTATTTTTACGTATTGACACAAGAGCTCCTTCCGTCTGAATATTGAAGTATGGATAGGCATTTTGCAGGGTTAAAAAAACCATTGCATTAAACAAAGGCAAAAAATACAATACAATGCTCCACATTTGTGAGCCGGGTGGACCTGTGTTCTACCAGCTGCTGGCTTTGGGGTGTATTGATGGGGCCAAAAAGTAGCTGCTGGCTTTGGGGTGTATTGATGGGGCCAAAAAGTAGCTGCTGGCTTTGGGGTGTATTGATGGGGCCAAAAAGCAGCTGCTGGCTTTGGGCTGTATTGATGGGGCCAAAAAGCAGCTGCTGGCTTTGGGCTATATTGATGGGTCCAAAAAGCAGCTGCTGGCTTTGGGCTATATTGATATGTCCAAAAAGCAGCTGCTGGGTTTGGGTATATTGATGGGTCCAAAAAGCAGCTGCTGGGTTTGGGGTATATTGATGTGTCCAAAAAGCAGCTGCTGGCTTTGGGCTATATTGATGTGTCCAAAAAGCAGCTGCTGGCTTTGGGCTATATTGATGGGTCCAAAAAGCAGCTGCTGGGTTTGGGGTATATTGATGTGTCCAAAAAGCAGCTGCTGGGTTTGGGGTATATTGATGTGTCCAAAAAGCAGCTACTGGGTTTGGGGTATATTGATGTGTCCAAAAAGCAGCTGCTGGGTTTGGGGTATATTGATTAGTCCAAAAAGCAGCTGCTGGGTTTGGTGCCCACAGAGGCGGAAGTTTCAGTTTGTTGTGAAGCAATGTCATTGTGGGACGGGAGGGGGGGACTAAGGTATAGTCGGAAGTGCTGTGTAAGAGATAGATTTACCGTGGAGTTGTCTCAGAAACCGAATAGCTCGGGACATAATGGAAAAAGTAGCAAGTTATCCTATTATTTGTGGTTGATGGAGTGCTGCTGTGTTGAGCAATGACGAAAATATTTCTATTTTTCTGAAGAATCCTTGTGATTTTATCCTTGGCTGTGTCTGAGCTCAACATATTTCAGTATGCACATATATTTATTTGAAATGGGAAATAAAATAGCTTGTAATGGTTAAGACTAGCAAGCTTGCTGGTTGTTTCAGTGCGGGATTCTGGCAGTTCATGAAAATGTCAAAGAACTCATCGGCTCACATTCTTACAATTACTCACTAAACCACCCACCATTCACTTACAGGTGAATGTGTGGTTGGCAGGTGCTCTGGTGTGGTTTGTTCCTTCTTTCCTATTAAAAAAACTCATCTCTATCTCACCACCTTTTTAGTGTTTGTTACTCTCTTCTCCAATCTTCGGCACTTGTATGACCTTGTTGTATTGCAAGTGCCGTAAGACTTACTAAAACTAAAGTACATCTATCGTCCTGATCTCTGTCCTCCTTTTTTGTGTATGTTACTCTCATGTAACCCCTCTAATCATCTGCACTTGTATGACCTTATTGTGTTGTGGGCGCCGTAAAACTCTTACTAAAACATAACGCTGAACTGGTGTCTGTTTGTGTGTGTGTTTCAGCTTCGCAAGCACTGGGGCGGTGGTGTCATGGGCTCCAAGTCTCAGGCTCGTGTCGCCAAACTGGAGAAAGCCAAGGCCAAGGAGCTGGCACAGAGGATGTAACACGCTACACGGGCAGTGGGTGGGCCGTGCAACAACTGGACCCCTCTGTGGACGGAATAAAGTTATTTCAATGTACATCTCATTTGTTGGTTTAGTTATTTGTTCCATGTGGCATGTGTGTGTGTGCTTGGTGGATGCCACTTCTTGTAGATTCTACTTTTGACCTTGTCTGTCTGTCTTACTTTTTCCTTCTGTCTGTCTGTCTTACTTTTTCCTTCTGTCTGTCTGTCTTACTTTTTCCTTCTGTCTGTTTGTCTTACTTTTTCGTTGCACCAAGTGACACAATGCGGGTGCTCTGGTGTGGTTTGCTTCTTCTTTCCTATCAAACATCTATCGTCCTTATCTCTCCTCCTTTTTTGTGTATGTTACTCTCTTGTAACACATCTATTCTTCGGCACGTATATATGACCTTACTGTGTTGCAAGCGCTGTAAAACGCTAACAGAAAAAAAACTGCTCCTTCTTTCCTATAAAACATCTATCATCCTTATCTCCCCTTCT